ATCTAATGATGAAAGAGATCTATAACTCAAATGGTTCAAAGCATTATTTGTATATATCTGAACTTATGCGATTGATTTCATTTTATCTAGAATACCCGCCTTGTAAAAAAATAACAAAATCAATCTAGTGTGACAATGTGGAAAGAGGATAATCATGGATGCCAATTATGAAGGTGAAACACATACTAGGGCTACGGTTATCATGAAGGCACCTTCACGAACCGTCATGACTCGTGAGCACACTTTGTTAATCTTTTTTCAAAACAGAATAAGTTGAAAAATGAGCAGTACAAGAGGAAGAACTAATGATCAAAATGTTTATATCCTCCCATTTTCCCTCCATTAATAACATGAAATGAATTATTTACAGTACCTGAGATCTTTTTAGATGTAATTTGCTAAAGAGAAATAAAAGTAGGACTCTCTATAGACTTTTTGCCACCTCAGAGTCTAAAATCAGTTCCTGAGCCAATATTATAAAACATTGTGCAAAAACATGAGGTGACAGAGAGTCCATAAAGAGTTCCACTTTTGAGAAGGTCATCTTAGCATTTCTCTTTATTAATTTGAACAGTACCCTACTGTCATATAATCAAATTTAATGGAGTTGACACTTTAACAGAAGGTAAGTCTACAATAAATTGAGACACATAATGCAAGAGTTATAAGTAGATAACAACCTTCCTTCATCTTCACAAACCAAAACCAATGCGATACATTATGGTGTAATGTTCTCTTGTATGTCTTATGTTGTCATGAAAATACGTAGAATTCGAGACTAATTAATCAGATGTTTATAGTAAGAATCAACTCAATTTAGGGTTTAAATTCACAATACTTAAAACCTTGAACCCTGACTATCACGAGTAATGTTTTTGTTTGTCATAATTATGATGTAATAAAAAGCATACATCTTGTCTCGAAATTTATTGTTTATTTATTTTACAGTTTGAAAAAAATTGATTTCAAGGGCATTTTGGTCATTTTAAATTTTGATTTTGTGTTTGGAGGTGGGTTTAGAATAGATGGATAGAGCACAAAGCATTTAGGCGCAAATTGTTTGCGAATCAGAGTTGAAACGAAGAAATTACAAGTGTTTATACCATATTTAGGGCCTCGTACTTAGATCTCGTACAAATACTCGGGGGACTTAAATGTAATCATGTGATAAAGGAATTGGCAAATATGTAATAAGTGAGGAGCCCTTATTCTATAAAAGAACTCCCCACCCTCGCAATTAGGGGAGGCCATTTCTGAAGCCTTCTCACCCCTCTCACATCCCTTCTCATATTCAGAGGTTCTCTCCCTCATCCTCTCAGAGAAATACATAATCAGTGTGGACGTAGCCCAAACCTTGGGGTGAACCACGATACATCTTGTGTTATTTACATTACTTGCAGATTCATGGTCGAATTTACATTGTTCTAAGACCTCCGGTTTTGTGCATCAACATTTGGCGCCGTCTGTGGGAATCGACACGAAAAGCTGTGTCGGTTCTCTCTCATTTTTTCACCTCCGCCGTGAATCTGCAAAATCCGTTTCAAATCTCCAAACACCACTCAACACAACTCAAGAAAACCTCAGCTTATCGTTGTTTATTTCACAATGAGCTTCTCTGCTACTTCAATCTCTACCGTCCATCACAACATCATCACAAGCTGGTGCTCGATTCCGGTTCTCCGACGACCTCCAAAGGCTGGGCTGTCCTCAACCTAGGCTCTGTCAAAGTCCCATGACGATTTTTCCTCATAAGTGCTTGCACTGCAGGTGTTTTTGGCAAGCGCCTAGAAGCAAGAACTAAAATTTGAAGTCCAGGGAATTGTAAAGATTGCGTTTGGCTCGCGCCAGGGAAGCTGAAGATAGTTTCACTCTGTCTGTCGCTGGAGCTGGTGCTGGATTCCGGTTCTCCGACAACCCCCAAAAGCTGGGTTGTCTTCAACCTAGCCTCTCATTCTCCATAATTTCATGGATCTCAAGATCCGAAACCGCGAGCTATAGGTTCCCCCAAGACCGAATCGCCTGAAGCCCCTAGATTCAACTGCTAAACACTTCGACAAGTTCGGGGAAAATCCGGACTCATCCCTCGGTCTCTTCGGGCAAATCAAGTGCCGCAAGAGGTTGAATTTCTGGTCTCTGTCACAAATCGTCTCTGTCAGATATCTTGCTGTCTGATCAAGTCAGCCCAGCCCAATTTGGCTGCAAGCCTTTGGGTCAGGGCAGTAGCAGGCTTAGTTCATGGGGACTTTCGCATTGATAATCTCGTGTTTCATCCTATAGAGGATCGAGTGATTGGCATTCTCGACTGGGAATCATCTACTTTTGGAAATCAAATGTGTGATGTTGCTCATAGTTATTTGCCTTACATCGTGGACATGGTGGCTGAAGTTGGTGAAGGTTTGGAACACACTGGGGGTTCCAGAAGGGTTTCCTTCTCAGGCAGAGTATGTAGCAGAATACTGTTCTTCATCTATAAGTCAACAGTTCCAAGAGCAGCAGTAATAGTTCACCCTCGTAGGCCATAAAATAGCTCGCATATCAAAACACACCGCCTCAAGCTCCAGCTTACCAGATTCAATCTTTGCCTGGTCCTGTACCTCATTCATGTGAGCATGCATGTGGAGACCAGCGAGGAGAATCATTTGAACGGGATGGAGAATCATGCGAAAGCATATGGGGGACAACGCAAAAGAAAAAGAAAAAGAAAAATAAAAAGAAAAATGGGCCTCAGGAGCACATGAGAAACAAAAGGAAAAGAGAAAGCAAAAGAAGAAAGCAAAAGAAGAAAGCGAAAGCAAAAGCAACGCAGACTGCTTTATTTATTTTTTGAATGATGTAATTTATTTTTATTGTCTTTCGGAGACATCTATATAAACTCCATCAGAGGGTAATATGTATAAACCCCATCATAGGGTAATATGTATAAACCCCATCAGATGGTAGTAAAAAAAAAAAAAAAAAAGGCAAGCCCAAAATAATGAGCTGCAATGTCATGTGGTGGGCGAAGACCCATTTACCCAAAAGAACCAGGCCCTCTATTATCACCAACCAGGTGACCAAAAGTACGCCCAATACTCCAAAAATTATTCGGCAACCTGCCGCTATTACCACCAACCAGGTGATGAAATGTACAACCCGTACTCTAAATATCATTTGGCAACTAGCCATTCATACTACCAGCCAGGTGATGAAATGTACAACCCGTACTCTCCTTCATGCCACCAACCAGGTGATCAAAAGTACGCCCAATACTCAAAGTTATACATGAGCATTACTCATGTCATTCATACATAAACATTCATGAACATCACTCATGACAATCATACATAAATATTCATGATCATCATTCATGTCAACATTCATGAGCATCACTCATGTTAACATTCATGAGCATCACTCATGACAACATCCATGAGCATCACTCATGTCAATCAACATAAACATTCATGAGCATCACTCATGTCATCAACTTCAAAAGCTTCATTTACAGAGCTCTAGCTTCAAAAGCTTCATTTATAGAGCTCTAGCTTCAAAAGCTCTAGCTTCAAAAGCTTCATTCATAGAGTCCCAGCTTCAAAGCTTCACTTGCAAAGTTTCACTTACAAAGCTTCAGTACAGGGTATACAAGTACCACCTCCGAACAACCACCACTTCGACCCATACATGGATTCAATTTGAAGTCTCCAGCCAACATACTCTATTGGCCGAAGACTTGGGGGACTACATTACGTACCATATATTGGGCCTCAACTGGGCCTCATGAAAAAAACTTGGGGGACTCTAGCCCATCATTCATGTATTGAAGAGCGAGACCTTGTTCTATAAAAGGGACTCCCTCACCACCATTAGAGAGCATCAACTCTAGCCCATCATTTGTGTATTGAGGAGCGAGCCCTTATTCTATAAAAGGGACTCTCTCACCTTCAACGCCACAAACCGAGCCAACCAAGGCAACATAAGCCACGAGCCGAGCAACCTCGCAGCATGTGCTACTTCTAGTTGAGCATCATTTTAGATTGAGCACCGCCTCATATCAAGCATCAAGTTCAAGACAACATCTAGTTACTTCGGCCCACACATGGACTGAATTTCAAATCTCCAGCCAAAGACTCTCTTGACTGAAGACTTGGGGGACTAATGTTTATACCATATTTAGGGCCTCGTACTTAGATCTCGTATAAATACTCGGGGGACTTAAATGTAATTATGTGATAAAGGAATAGGCAAATATGTAATAAGTGAGGAGCCCTTATTCTATAAAATGACTCATCACCTTCATAATTAGGAGAGGCCATTTCTGAAGCCTTCTCACCCCTCTCACATCCCCTCTCATATTCAGAGGTTCTCTCATTCATCCTCTCAGAGAAATACATAATCAATGTGGACGTAGCCCAAACCTTGGGGCGAACCACAATACATCTTGTGTTATGTACATTACTTGCACATTCACGGTCGAATTTACGTTGTTCCAAGACCTCCGATTTTGTGCATCAATAACAAGCATCCAAAGTGAGGGGCATTTTGGTTCTTTGCACTAACCATAAATAGTAAGTTTCCGTTTTGGTACTTGATAGAAATAGAACTATCCATTTCAGGAAAGCCAACCTATAACCCAGACCATTGACCTGTAACCCTTACCGACCCGTTTTCCCTTCGAATTTTCCAACTCAAATTCCTGTCATCTCCTGCGGAATTAGTCAGCACCACTTATCCAGAATTGAAGCTCTCACTTCCCTTACAAAACCCAACCTAGAACCACCCCGATAAACCACCTCATGGGACGGTGTAAGGTAGGGATGGGCAAAGGCCGGGCCGGGCCCAAAGTTGGAAGGACCGAACCGAACCCACTTAAAAAGAAAAAGAGACGGGCTAGGCCTTGTATTGCAATTCTGATCACTAGAACTGGACCTAAACTGGCCAGTTCGGGCCGAGTCCACGGGTCCTCTTACTTTTTGTTTTTTTTTTGTTTTTTTTAAAAAGGTTTTGATCGTCTCCCGACTCACTCATCCTTCAGATCTTCGACTCGGACCGTTGTGGTTCACCTCCTGCTCCACCACGGTCACAATCTTTGGCTTCATTTGCTTCACCACTAATAGCACATTCTCAATCGCGTCGGGTCGGGTCTCGTAGAAGTGGATGTACAGCATGCCGGAAAAAGAGTGGTCGATCGGTGACTGAGGATAGACTCTGAAGATTCGATGGGCCATGGTTTCGGCAAAGAAGGTGGTGACTTTACACATGGCATCTGCTTGTGAACCTGCCAAGTAGTCGATCTGGGTCACCAGAGCTTTGGCGAGGTTGAAGTTGTTCTGTTGGATGGTTTCCGCGTAGTCCATGATTTGGGAGTCTGGGCTCAAGATTGAGGTCTAAGATGGGAGCTTGGGCATGAGATTGAGGTCTGAGATGAGAGAAGAAATGAGAATGAGGAGAGATTGACGGAGGAAACTTAGATGGTGTCGGTCGGAGACTCAGAGTAGAGAGATAAGGTGAAAGGGAGAGTTAAGTGAATCGATATGGGCCTGAGAATAAAAGAGAGAGGGTGATGGGAGAGTAGAGTCTTGAGTGAATGGGTATGGGCCTGAGGATATGAGAGATATGGTGATAGAATTAGAGGGTATTGATTTAAACGGTCCAGGCAGAGGGCCTGTTTTCTCCAATTTTTAGAACCGGCCTGCCCCATTATTTACAAGAAACTGGCCCACCCCGCCCTATTTTGTATTTATAATTTTTAGACCCGCCCCGACCCGCGGGTCTAGGACCCGTTTGCCCACCCCTAGTGTAAGGCCACAATTTTTTAGGGTTACACAGACCCTATTCGTTTTCAGGCAGATCGACTAAGCAACGACCAATGCCACCATTTGAAACTTGTAGCCTATCATCCCAAGAGTAAAACTTGACCGACCTTGACTTTGTGGTAGGTATAAAAGTTGTTCCTCCTGTTGAGTGATACATGCTCACAAAATTTGGTAGGATTTAGAGTTGGTTGGAAAATTGAGTTTCCATTCGCTAGAAACCTCCGCGCGTAGCAACGCGTGAGGAATTCAGGTGACTGTATTTTAGGCATCTAGGTGTTTGTGATGCTTTGAGCCCATGTCCAATGTCTGTTTATTGAAACTCAATGTGATGGTTCAAGTATTCAGTTTTTGAATTCATTGTATCGCCATTCGATTTCGTAATTAACGATAATTCGACAGTTAAATAGTCTCGAAATTGGAATATGATGTTTTTAGGGTTGACAGAGCTTAGTTTGTTCATCATGATGATGTTTCGATCTCTGTTGAGATGTGAATATCAACTCATGTGCAAGTATCATTGTGCTTCATTTTGCATGTCATTCTTGAAAAGATTCCTAAGTGGAGTGTTGTGTACGATATTAAGTTTTATAAGAAGTATTGTTGGTTTATTACATGTGAGGTCTCATTGGCGTGCACATCGTTTTGCGTGATGATTCAATTGTGTTGATTTTGAAATTGCGTCTGGCTCTAGGTTAGTGATTTTAATATTATGTGACAAATATTTTGCCTATGAAAATTCCCATGTTGGTATACTTTGTGGATATAGCATGGATTTATAAATGTGTTTAATGCCAATCATCAATTACTTTATGAAATGTATACATATGTATGTTTGAAAGGTTTGCAAACTAAGAGGGCTAGTAGATGACTGAATCCTGGAATACTTTCTTTATGATTTCATGTGCGGATCTTAAAACCCTAGTGCATTACCTTTCTTTCTGATTTCATGAATGCGTCTGGAACCCTACTAATACTCAATGTATGGATGCCATTGAGTGCGTCTGGATCCCTACATTCTGCTCGATTCCATTGAGTGTGTCTAGAATCGTTCATCTCTTATGGATTCCATGGAGTGAGTCTGGAATCCTACTTCTCATCTTGTGTATTAGTTCTGTTTGATTCTTTAAGTGCGTTTGGAATGTGGAATGTTGTGATTTCTGCTAGCCTACCAGTCGTATTATTTTATTATAGATAAGAAATAGATGATTGAATGCCTGTGTGGATTAATCATGAAAAGATAGTTAGATGCTTGGGTAGATCCAATCGAGATTTGTGAGTGAGGATTATTTTATATATGCAAGGGATTTTATGAAATGTTTTCTATTGATATCGATTGGCTTTTACATATCTTGTATTATTATCACTCACCAAGCTTTGCAGCTTATTTGGGTTTTTGCTTTGGGCTGTGCTATTTCCAAGGTGTAGGGCTATAACTCTTTATTGTAATTTCATTTCCATTAAATATCTGATGTACATTATGTATAAGTCCCAGTGAACTCTATGTATTATTATACGGCTACTTTTAGCTATTATATGTCGATCCTGAGCGTATCTCGGAATCGGGACGTGACATACATTATGATAACCAAACATTTTAACAATAACAATCTAATCAAAATTCACAATATGACAATAAAAGTATTTGTGTTGCGAATGTGGATTTTCATCTTAGCTAGTGTAGACAAATCACAATATAGGACCACAACATAGGAATATGCATAAAATATTTAGTTCAATCGATTGCATATTCTTGACCGATTTCCTTTGATTATTTTGGTCATTCAACAACTTAGCTTGGGCGTATGTGGGTTGTCCTCTTTGAGCTTATGACATTAACCTAATAGATTCTGTTGTACAGTTTCCAGCATATCGCTTTTGATTTTAAATTTCATGGGATTCCAAATCCAATGCCTCCCACTTTACTCAGACCTTGAAAACGAAAATTCATCTAGTAAAAGCACTTTGCATGAAGCATGCAAGCTATCCAGCAGTCACAGAATATTGCTGAAACAGCTGAAAGCATCTCTCTCTTTTCTTTTTACTCAAAATTCTGCATTCCCAGCTCCCAGTAGTTTCCATAAAAAAAGGTCGTACCCAGTGCACAAGGCTCCCGCTTTACGCAGGGTCTGGAAGAGGTGAATGTCGGCTAGCCTTACCCCCATTTTATGGAGAGGCTGCCCCCAGTAGTTTCCATGATTAGAGAAAAAAAACCCTGAGCCACACACAAAGACAAAACCCTAATGAACAATACAGATTAAAGGAACATGAAACCAAAAAAAGAAGTGTGCCTGACGTAAGGGAAATTTATGATACTGATAAGGCTGCATGCATTGCTGCATTTTTTTTTTTTTTTGGTTGTGGAGATGAAATATATTGGATTGGTGGGTGTGGTGTGAGAATCTAATAATCTAAAAACTCTGATCGCAGAGAGAAGTGTCGGAGAAGAGAGAGCTACAAAGTTCACTTTTTTGAGAGACCATATGTGTAAAAACATTAGATTAGCATGCGGTCCCCCATGAAAAACAAAAGCTTTGTACCTTTTCAGTTAAAAGCCCTAATTTTTTGGGTCTTTCTTTACATGGTTTTGTTCTTGCTTTATTCGCTAGAAAACAAGACAATGATTCAATCTGGAAGACATGCAAGCTTTGTGATATATGACTGGAGATTATTGGTGGAATTTGGTCCATAGCTTTTCTAAAGTCGACATTATTTATTTATATATGGTTACCAACTTACCATAACCTTTTTATCCCCATAGTTCTAACTTGATGTAACTTCTAACATGCATAGCTAGCTACCATGAAAATACAATAAGATGAGATATCACATATTCAAGAGAGCTACCAGACGCAGTAGGTGTACGACTAGCTCATTGTGTATGTCAATGGTTTGTCGATCAAGTCACTTGATCCTTTCGTAACTTGATTATCAAGTGATCTTGCAGCCCTAATTGAGCAAGAATCGTGGAGTCTTAATTTTGTCGAACTAAATGAACTCTTATTTCTCATGAAGAGAAATGCTAAGAAGACTTTCTAAAAGTGGGACTCTGTACTTTGCCATCTCACAATTTAAGGATAAATCTCGTGCCAACATTATAAAACAGTGTGTCAAAATATGAGGTGGCAATGAGTCCCACTTTTGAGAGAGTCTCCTTAGCATTTCTCCTAATATTAGTATGCTGAGTTGTACAAAGTCAAAGGACTTCGAAAAAAAAAAGCCAAAACAAAAAGGTTTTGGTCAAAGAATAGAGGTGGACAGAGACCGCTTCCAAAGTCTCCATATATTCGAACAATTTGAAAGGTTTCTTTGGTAGGGATATTTTCTTTATGGCATGTAATCTGTTTCATGCTTAAGAGAAATGCTAAGGAGACTCTCTCAAAAATGGGACTCTCCATGGACTCTTTGCCACCTCATGTTTTTTGTTCAACATTTTATAATGTTGGTAGAGGATTAACATTAAACTATAAGGTGCCAAGGAAAGTCTCATTTTGAGAGAGTCTTCTTAGCATTTCTCTTAATCCAATTTAGTTCAGTGAAGTTTGGTGAAGACATGCAAACGCACCTTAAAATGTTGACATAAGATTAACATTAAACTGTGAGATAACAAAAAGTCCATGAAAAATCCTATTTTGAGAGAGTTTTCTTAGTATTTCTCTTATAGTCCAATTCAGTTAAGTGAAGTCTGGTAAAGACAGACAAATGCACCTTAAAATGATAGTGACTTTTAAATCTCAAAATATTTATTAAAGATTCTCAAACATAAGTCAAACATAAGAAGTAAACGTCTTTGCACAAGCCCATAGAACATGTCAACCATGCTGTTTGTTTGGTCTAACCATTGCTCTCTATGGGCCTCGAAAGATCACACTTTCACGAAGTTAATATGCGGGCGTCCAAATCTATACAAGACATTGACCCAAAAACAATCTATACAAGACAAAATACATAGGCTAATTCAGGTCAAATGCTATGGATAGTTTTAGGAAAGGCCTTTGGACGGATGTCATGGCAATACCTAAATGTGGTGGATGAAAATTTGGGTTTTATATATATTTTTTTATTTTAAAGAAAAGTCCTTTTCGGTACAAGAGTTATCAAAATTCAAGACATTTGACGTATCATAGAAATTGAGTTATTTGACATGTAACAAATTAAAAGAAAGAAGCCGCGTCTAACGAAGAAAGTGATTGAAGAATTGAAAATTTTAGAGTTAGAAGATTATTTGATGCTATTATATTGCGAGAGTTAATGTTCTGGACTTTTTGAGTAACTCAACAAGGAAAAAAGACAAAGAGTCAATTTTGACAAATCGATTTTTAATCTCAAGACTTCTTTTTCATAAATTAGAGATCTATTGTCGGTATTATGGATTACCTGAGACTTATTTTAAAAAAATCTATATTTCGAATTTTACCTGTTTTATGAAATATTTGGGACTTAATTATTCTTATTTTATTTTTGGGTTAAGTCCGGATAATTACCCAATCTTTTGTGGGAATCCTAAATTGGTCTTAACTTTTTAAAACATTCAAATAACTACC